TTGGGGCATCTTCTTTTACTCTTTTATCTAATGCAAGGCGTTTAAACTAGGGATTAATCGATCAAGGATAGCACTCAGTCCCAGCTTGTGCTGGGTTGGCAACTACTTCTGTTGCAGCTCTGCACTGAAAGTAGTTTTGGAACAGGCTGACAAGCAGCCCAGGTCAGTCCTGGCTTGCACCAGGTCCCAGGAGCTGCCCCAGCTCCTCAATTACTTTTCGTGCAGAGCCGCAGCAGAGGTAGCTCTGTGGACCCAGCACCAGCCAGAACTGAGCCATGCTGCTGGCCTACTCTCTAAAAAAATTTATTGGTGGGGGGATCTTTTGAAATAAGCTTTTGCTTATTGGTTAATCATCTACGCTATTACATCCTTAGTTTAAACAGAAGTGTTACTCTGGTATTCTTTGGCTATATGCTGCTGTTGCAGATTAGAGAGGCTGCTTTTGTGCTGAGGACTAGGACACTGTGGAACCAGCCCCAGAAATGAGAAGTGTAAATGGCTCGTTTGCACTCCCTACATTTTTCTGGGCTGCATGCAGCACTTAATGAGTCTGCAGTTCTGACTGGGGCCTTTGGCTACTGCTCTGTAGAAATGATAAATAGGTAAGTAATGGTTGCTAAAATGAAGGCGGGAGAAATATAATACTTTTGGGTATGTCTACACTAACCTCCTAGTTTGAACTAGGAGGGTAATGTAGGCATACCGCACTTGCCAATGAAGCCCGGGATTTGAATTTCCCGGGTTTCATTTGCATAAGCGGGGAGCCGCCATTTTTAAAATCCGGCTGGTTCAAACCCCGTGCAGCGCGGCTACACGGGGCACGAACTAGGTAGTTCGAACTAGGCTTCCTAGTTCGAACTACCATTACTTCTCATTCCACGACATACCCCTAGTCACCTCTTAAAACAAGGCCAGGGTTTGGTCCTGCCAGGAACACGGGATGTGCCTGGAATGGGTTTGGTTCTCACAAAACCAAACAGAAAAGAGACAGAATCACCAAATCAAGCACAGCCCGCAGAATTAACGTGGTGAAGTGAATGGGGACAGAAACTAACCCAAGATGAATCAGAAACATATGGTGACCCTGGGATAGGATTGCTTCTCTACAAATCTTAGAGAAGAGATACAAAGGAGAAATTTGGATTCATGTTCTCTTTGGACACAGCCAAATCTGTTCTACTGCCACCTTCACCCTTTGCATATTATCTTTTTTGTACCTTAGTAAAACAGAAGTACAGTGTTTGAGGGAGTGCAGAGAACACACTCCTATTCCCTATTTTTTTCCTTTCAAAATACTTTTCAGTTTTTGAATGTAAATTATGTTAATTGGGTAAACTGTGATTTCTGCAATGAATACCTATAAACATGAGAATCATGCTAAAAAGTGCAAGCTGTAGCAGGCTTATGAAAAAATTACTAGAAAAAAGTGAATGGTCTACAACAATGTTTCTCAAACTGTGCTCCGTGGAGCCCCAGACTCTGCGAGACATCTCCAGGGGCTCCGCGAGGTTGACAAACTGGAAACATCAATAGGTACAACACATACAATCAATGGACCGCTGGGGCTCCACATAAATTTTTACACATGTAAAGGGCTCCAGAGCCCAAAAAGTTTGAGAACCGCTGGTCTACAAAATATCTTGAAATATTTTAGGATGTTCCTGGTGAATAACCTGCAGACAGTTCTGCTACTTGCATTTCTTACCCTTTCTTGCTACTGAGGACATTGATTTGGGTTTGTCAGGCTTATTCAGTTCTGGAGTGTCTGATTCTGGCACAAAACTTGATGTTGAATTGTTGGATCAATGGCAGAGCCAGACTTGCCTCAGGGCTTCTGCACTTCTAGGCACATAGTGTTTGCCTCAGAGGCTTGCTGTGACCCTCCACCTTAGCCTCTCACTCTTTACGAGAAGCAAGGATCACAGCCTACTGATCCATACTCATCACAGGCCAGTTAAACAGGTTTGGGATGAACCTCTCTTTAGTTCCAAACTTCCCCCTTCAGGGGTGGCCGCCATAGTGGTGCAGAGAGGGTTGAGAAGAATCCACGCCTGGCTTCTGTTCTGAGTTCTGGCCCAGGGACCTTAATGGTGGCAGCAGCAGCAGGTAATAATTCCTCCATTATCAGAGCTGAAGCTTCTCCCTGGGCCACTTCCCCAGCCAACTCTGCCCAGGACCTTTCTCCTGGTACTTGTCCACCTCCTTTTGCTCTTCCTGCTCTCCCCTTTTCACTCCCAGTTCACAGTCTGCTGGCCTTCCCTGAAGGGAAGTCTTTTAAATTAGCCACAGAAGGTCCTTAATAGACTGCAGGTGTTCTGATTAGTCTGCTGCTTCTAGCAAGCTCTTAATTGGCCCAAGGTTCTTCCTGATTGAGCTGCAGCAGCCCAAGCCCTGGTTACTCAGAGAAGATAAAACTGTTCACCCAGGCAATGTCTACACAGCAGCATTATTTTGGAATAACTTACATTATTCCAAAATAATATAGTCCTTGTCTACACACAAGCAGTTATTTCAACATAATGTCAAAGTAATGTTTAGCTGGAGGACTATTTACTCCAGCTTCTGTAACCCTCATTGTATGAGTAAGGGAAATGGGGGGAAGAGGGCTCTATCTCAAAATAGCTGCTGTGTAGACAGCACCAGGAGTTGAAATAAGCTATTTCAACTTAAGCTACACCATTAGAGTAGTTCAAGTTGAGTAGCTTATTTCGAATTTAGTACTGCTGTGTAGACATGTCCCCAGAGACCAGAATATATACCTTCCATCAGAGAGTGGCAGTCAACTTGTCTGGGACTATCAATTCTAGAACCTGATTTTCAGCAGAAAATTGTCCATTTGTTGGTAGCACAAGTCTTAGAGCTGTGAACTACAAAAGTGGTTTCGTTATTGAAAGTGTGGGGCAGAATTTTGACTAATAAATATGACAGATCCACTCTACCTTTTTTGGGAGAAAATGGTCCTGTTAAATTAGATGAATCTTGCTTGCTCAGTGAATGCAAATGAAGAAAGATTTTAAATTGTGGTTCTTTGTCAAAACTTTACAGGAGAGTTGTACCAGTGATCTTGATTGATGTACAGTTTCTTTCCTTTTTGTTGTTTCACTTGTTTGCTTTTTCAGACTTCTCATATTCCTTTGCGATGAGGTTCACAAACTTTTTCCACTTTTGCAAGTGATTATACCTATATGAACATTCAAAGTAACAGATGGAGGCAGTCACTGGGTGGTTGGGAATTGTAAAATGGTTGGTGTGTTAGAGATGCTGAAAAAATACTATTTAGGTTTTTGGTTTTTTTAGGAGACAAAGCTATGATGAGAGCTAACATGGCATGGCACCAGCATACAAAGGCATTTAAAATCAAATTCAGTAGATACATCACTATGCATTTTTGCCCCCTGTGCTGCTGACTCGTTGAATCTTGTTGGAGAATGTCTTGCAATGTATTTCCCCAAACTTATTCTAAATGTTGGAATTGTTCAAAGATTGTATGGCTTACTCTTGTACTAATTATTGAAAAAACATTAGCATTACATTGGAAAGCCGAAGCATGACAGGATGATCAACTAGAGCAGAGGCTGTTTATTCACTATGAAATTAGGTTGAGGATGTTCTTGATGCCTTGATGAGATCAAGGCTTCACACAATTTAGCTCAGATTTTGACGTCTGAAGCTCTTAGCTTACAAACAAACATTTCATTGTTTTCTTATTTTGACCAAGATTTGGTATACAGTCTTGTCAAATTAATCTGTAAGCTTAATTTTAAACTTCTCCAAGGTCATTATGTATACTTAATTAGCTTTTAAAATCTGACCCTCATCTTTCCTCCTTCCCTCCCTGCCCAAAGACATACATTATGGTCCCAGTCACATAAAAACGAAGTCTTCCAATTCAGTGCATCTAGAAAGCCCTATTTACTCATATTCAAATTATTCCCTACTTCCTCTTTACTCCTATGATTGTATCAGAGTTCTACATGACCCAAGAGGAGTAGCAGTAACTCTGCACAATAAATGGTCTGGTCCTAATATCCAGAGCATTAGCTGCTGCTCAGGAGCATGACCTGTCTCCCTGTATGTTGTGTGCTTCTGTAGACACTCAGAAGAGATTTGCATGCCTGTCAGCAAACTAGCAGAATGCCCATAGCTAGGATTGTTTCAACCAGAGGTGTACATTCACACATGCCTTAGTGCACATAAAAATGTATTCCACACATGGATGAAAAATATTAGAGGGAACACTGAGCATGATCTATCAATAGTGCTGCACACAGTATTGCCTGCAGGAGGCGTGTTAACTTTTAACTGCTAATAGTGTTAACTGCTATTAGTAATCCGCAGATTTTTCTACTCCACATTAATGAAGCTTTCAAAATTACAATACGTGGCTAATCTGGTAGGTAGCTGTGTTGTAGAGAGTCTATGCTTTCCCTTTCTATGATAGTGATACATACACTGGGTTCAAAGCTTACTCTGCTCTATCAGGGTAGACATTATGATGGAAAGAAAATTGAGGGAATTGGATTATTGTTATGCTACGAGGAGAACTCTGTAGAACTTGGTTTTCAATTTTTAATAATCAGAACTTTTAAATGTACTTTTAAATATAGGGTTGGAAGCCCAGTCTCTTGAACTGTCCAATATTGTGGATATTAGAGGAGAATACAATCGTGAGCTTGCAATGAGAATTTCATCTGATGTTAACAGCCAAAATAGGTTTTACACTGACCTTAATGGGTTTCAGGTAATTACTATCTATTAATTCTGAATATAGTAACGATGACCATGTTCATGGTTCCAGGATTCAAGAAAGTGTATTTTATGTCTGTCATGACAAACCAGCCTGTCTTATATTGCAAATCTGTGTTTAGTTATAAAAATATGATGGGACTTGGTTTATAGACTATTAATATTTTAATTGTGTATGGTGCTTTAGACTTCTTTCCTTTATGAATGAATATTTAAAAGAGGAGGGGTTAATAAAGGTTTAATAAAATTCAGTACTTTGATTTTTTTTTTGTTATTTTTTGAGTGCCATCAGCATTCTGTGTGCTGTAGAAGATTTTTGTCTGAAAAGGTGCTAAAGTAGATGTTGGTCATTGTTGATGTTAGCATGTTACAAATATCCAAGAGACTTCCTCTGTTCCATTTCAATGCAGTTTAAGATTTCAATAACTACTTGGGGTTTCTATTTTGGCATCTTCTCTATTAGGAGGCCATGAAAATTTTGCAAATCTAAAAACCCCAAAACTCAAATTTCTAAGAACCCCAACGTCCATGGCAAAAAGCATGATATTTCCTATGGAAGGTTGCCTCCTTTAAAAAAAACAAACAAACAAACAAAACAAAAAACCAAAATTACCAACCAAACCCAAGAAAGAACAAAGTGCTGCAAAAAGGAAAGTAGAAACCACCCTTAAAATGGATATAAACTACATCAGTTGTGTTACGATTGTTTCTGGCAACCACATTTTGCTCAGTGCACATTGTGATGAGCTGAAAAAACTCCATTTAGTTCTCATAGTCAAAGTGCAAAATTAAATTGAACTAAGATGTCATTAACAAACCAGCACACTCCAAGTGCTATGTTGTGCATGGTGGACCTCCCAGTTCTGGTGCACTCGGGACCTGACTGGTCCCAGTCGAGGGATTTTGCTGGACCAAGGGAGGTCATTTCTGGACCCCCTGCTGCTGGGCACCAGCCCGCTGCCTCGCAGCCAGCTCCTCAACTCCTGCTGGCCCCGTTGCCTTACCAACCCCATTTAGCAGCCCAGGGATCCTTGCCACTGGTCTTCCACCAGGATTCTCTGGTCCTGTAACATCCATGCTGGAATATGGATGTTGCCCGCCAAGAGAATCCTGGTTAAGAGAGTTTCAACCAGTATTTCTTTCTTTCCTTTTCTGTCTTGTCTATGTGAATTGAGGTCTTTGGAGCACATACTGACTTTTACTATGTGCTTGCACAGTGCCTAGCAGACCCTTTGTTTGGGATCTCCAGTGGCAAATGTGACACAAATAAATTATATAATAATTTATTGGTACCTAGTTAGCCATAGTATGGATGATGCAGCTGATAGAAATGAATGCACATCATTTTTCTTAGCTGCGTTGGCTCTGTGGTGCTTACAGAAGTAAAAACTTTTGGTTTGTTATCCTCCCCAGAAACAATTCTGGTGACCCAGATCTCTTGAGTAAGAAATTGCTATTGAATTTAATTACTTCAAAGTAGTACTGCACTTAAATTTAAAAACTGCATCAAGAATATTTATAGTATTATATATTCATCTATATAGATTGCAAGAACTGCATGGAGAGGTCTATTAATCATGTCCCTGCTAAGTAATCCTAGGAATATGTGTGTCTACTTCGATTTTATTTACAATCTACTTTCTAAAATATAAAGAAAAACATTATCTCAAATACTGCTCCTCATGCTAAGAGCTAGTATAATTCTTGATGCAAATTTCCATGAAGAACATTTCATTTTTTGAAAACTACTTTGAACTACAAATATATGTAAGCTCCATTGCTTCTGAAGTAATGTTGGCCATAAGTCCCTAAAAAAACTGAATGATACAGTGCAGAGACTTGTTTAGGTATCTATTAATTGTTGCTCCCAAGGCATATAAGATAATGCTTAGAAAGATATTTAGGGGTTTTTACATATTTAAATATCAATGTAATGTACTGATGTTAATTTTGATATCATAGATTCAGCCTAGAGTGACAATGAGCAAATTGCCCCTTCAGGCAAATATCTATCCAATGACTACAATGGCTTATATCCAGGATGATACCATTCGTTTGACCTTACATTCTGCTCAGTCTCTAGGCGTTGCAAGCTTGAAAAGTGGTAAGTAGAATACAGGAGAGGTTTTCAAAGTCTAGCCTACATAGTAAATTATCTAAAGTATTCAGAAGGTTGTTTTACAGACTATTATGCTATATAGTATCCCTTCCTTGAGAATGTAAAGAAAAAGTATCTAGCTTTTCTAGTATCCTATCTCCAGCAGTGATGCACACGAGTTGCTAAGAGGAAGCCATGCCATAAGCAAATATGAGATTTACTTCCAGGAAAGTTCTCTTCCTAACTCCCCATTACTTAGAAGTTACTTTATGCCAATAAGGGGATGGGATTTTGTCCAATCCGTTGCTCTTGTTTGTTTTTTAATGTTTGCTTTTATAATTCTGGATTGCCTTCTTTATCTCTATGAAAGTGGCTTTTTGTAAATCCTGCTAAGTTTCTGGCCTCAATGATACCTTGAATGTTGTACGAAAAAGTATGTTCTTCAATAAGATCTGAATTTTCCATCTGTTTGATTTCATTGAATATCCTCTTAGTCTTGCATTGTAAAAGAGGGTGAATAGAAATTTCTCGTCTACTAATTCATGTCATAAAACATTTTTTTAGTCTTCACTTTTATGCATAAAAAGTATTAATGAATAAGTACTGTTTAAGCTTATGAAGTGATGTTTAAAGATGTATATAGTACCCTAGGTGCAATATCAGTAGATCTTTATGTATTACTTTTATTTTTTCTTTTATTGATAGTTATCCAGTACTTTGTCTGTCTTCTCAGTGTGCTGCCAAACAGTGAATACATTTTAGGTTTCCATTGTTCAAATAATCTCTACGATCAGTTTGTGGGTGCTGAATGAAGAAACAGTGTATTAACATGTTGTACCCACAAATTACTCTCAGCATAGTTCACCTGTCTGAAGACCATATACAAAACTATAGCCATTCACAAATTCTTCCTTATATGTGCAAAATATTGAGGTTATTCCCTCATATTTTGATGCTTGAACATACTTCAACACTTGACTAAATGACTGTTTTCCTTCAGAAAGGATCTTATAGACTAGTGGTTCTCTCCCAGGGCATACATACCCCTGCTTTAATATAATTCTAGAACTAAACATCATTTGTTGCAAATTAAGCTCATTGCTTCTTGTCCTATCTTCAGAGCCCAAGGAGAAAAGCTTTTCTCCCTTCTCCTTTTAACACCCTTTTAGATACTTGAAAACTGCTGTCATGTCTCCCCTCACTCGTCTCTTTGCTAAACTAAACAAGCCCAAATTTTTCAGTCTTCCCTCATAAGTCATGTTTTCTAGACCTTTAATCATGTTTGTTCTTCCTCTCTGGACCTTCTCCAATTTCTCTACATTTTTCGTGAAATGTGATACCCAAAGCTGGACACAATACTCCAATTGGGGCCCAATATGTACTGAGTAGAGTGGAAGAAAGATGACTTCTGTCTTGCTCACAACACTCCTGTTAATGCACCCCAGAATAGGTTTGCTGCTTTTTTTTCCCCAACAGAATCACGCTGTTGACTGTTTAACTTGTGATCCACTATGATCCCTAGATCCCTTTCTGCAGTATTCCTTCCTTGACAATCATTTCCCATTCTTTAAGTGTGAAACTCATTGTGCCTTCCTAAGTGGAATACTTTGCATTTCTCCTTATTAAACTTAGTCCTGTTTTCTTCAGACAATTTCTCTAGTTTGTGAAGATCATTTTGAATTATGACCCTATCCCCCAAAGCAGTTGCAGTCCTTCCAAGCTTGGTGGTATCTGCAAACTTAATGATCTTTGTTGGAAATAAGTCTGGAAACTCTGGATACAATGAAAACAGGCAAGAGGATTTATTACAAACTGCACTGGTGGAGTGCTACCAGTGGTTAAGCTGATTAACACTGTTTAAGCAAAACATTACAATAGATTATATAGGGGGCTGATGGACGGAGGGGAAGCAATTCAGTAAGTTCTAGGAGCAAAACAAAATGAGCACGTAAGCCAATAAGCTATGAAGATTACACAGCATCTCCACCCATTGCCAGTTAAACCTTATCTTTAATACTGGTAGTTTTCCTTAACAAGCTAAATAAGCCAACGTAAACAGAACAGACAATTTAATGGCAATTTTGGTCTATTTAAGTTATGATGTGTCTACAAGAGGATGATGCTGCCTCGTGGTGGTGTGATCCTTGGGTCTTGGGCCCATTATCTAGGATTAAAGGAAAACCATAAGAACATATCACACTCGCTAACGTTAACAAGGTTGCTTAGGTACCAGACAGTCTTATCAACCCTTGAAATGTGGTTGCCAGGGCGACTGTGCCTTTCCTAGGGTTATGCTAACTTATGCTAACTGCCTGTGCTGTTAAGTTTACAGGCCTGTCTCAAATTTTAGGATTAAATAGGGGTTCTTCGTGAAATACTATGGACTGCTTCAGTTTACCCTACAATTATGCTTTGTATGCCATCATATAAATCATTGATGAAGTTATTGAACAGAACCGGTCTCAAAACAGACCCCTGCAGAACCCTGCTTGTTATGCCCTTCCAGCATGATTGTGAACCATTAATAACTACTCTCTGAGAATGATTATCCAGCCACTTATGCACCCACCTTATAGTAGCTGCATCTAGGCTGCCTTTCCCTAGTTTATTGATAAGAAGGACATGCGAGACCATATCTAATGCCTTACAGAAGTCTAAGTATACCATATGCACCGCTTTTCCTTTATCCCCAAGGCTTGATATCCTATCAAAGACAGCTATCAGATTAGTTTGGCATGATTTGTTCTTTACAAATCCATGCTGGCTGTTACCTATCACCTTATTATCTTCCAGATGTTAGCAGATATATTCCTTAATTACTTGCTCCATTATTTTCCCTGGCACAGAAGTTAAACTGACTGGTCTGTAGTTTCCTGGGTTATTTCCCTCTTTATAGATGGCACTATATTTGCTCTTTTCCAGTTTTCTGGAATCTCTCTCAACTTCCATGATTTTTCAAAGATGATAGCTAAAGGCTCAGATAGAATACTGAAAAAGCTGATAGAGAAGCTAAGATGCGTTTCATTATGCCCTAATGACTTGCAGACTTCTAACTTTTCTAAGTAATTTTTAACTTGTTTTTTATTTTAACTTCTAATCCTACCCTATTTCCACTAGCATTCACTATGTTAGGCATCCTGTCATCATTCATTTTCTTAACGAAAACCAAAACAAAGAAGTCATTAAGCACTTCTGCCATTTCCCAAGTTTCCTGTTATTGTTTCTCCCTCTTCTCTGAGCAGTGGGCCTACCCCGTCCTTGGTCATTCTCTTGCTTCTAATATATTTATAGAATGTCATCTTGTTAACCTTTATGTCTCTCTCTAGCTAGGTTTACCTCATTTTGTGCCTTTGCCTTTCTAATCTTGCTCCTGCATACCTGTGGTGTTTGCTTATATTCATTTATTGTAATTTGACCCAGTTCCCACTTCTTATGTGACTCCTTTTTGATTTTTACATCATCTAAGATCTCCTGGTTGATCCAAGGTGGTCTGCTGCCATTCTTTCTATCTTTCTTAGAGAGTGTAATAGTTTGCTTTTGGGCCCTTAATCATGTCCCTTTAAAAAACTGCCATCTCTTTTCAGTTGTTTTTTCTCTAGTCTTGCTTCCCATAGGGCCTTACCTACCAGTTCTCTGAATTTACTAAAATCTGCCTTTCTGGAATCCATTGGCACCTTATAGACTAACCGAAGTGTTGAAGCATAAGCTTTTGTGGGCAAAGACCCACTTCGTCAGATGGAAGCTTATGCTCCAACACTTCGGTTAGTCTATAAGGTGCCACAGGACTCCTCGCTGCTTTTGCAGATTCAGATTAACATGGCTTCCCCTCTGATACTGGAATCCATTGTCTCTCTTTTGCTGTTCTCCCTTTTACCATTGCTTAGAATCATGAACACTATGATTTCATGATCACTTTCACCCAAGCTGACTTCCACTTTCAAAGTTTCAACCAGTTCCTCCCTATTTGTTAAAATCCAATCAAGAACAGCTTCCCCCAGGTAGCTTTCTTAACCTTCTGAATTATAAAATTGTCTCCAATGTAGTCCAAGAACTTATTGGATAATCTGTTCCTTGCTATGTTACTTTCCCAATTTATGTCTGGGTAGTTGAGATCGCCCATCATCACCAAATTCTGTGCTTTGGATGATTTGGGTAATTGTTTAAAAAAACCTTTATCCACCTTTTCTGCTTGGGTAGGTGGTCTGTAATAGACCCCTAGCATGATACCACCCATTTCTGAGCCGTCTCCCAGGTCTCCATGTTTTTCACTTACCTGTCCCCGTCAAATCTAGTTTAAAGCCTTCTTTATGAAGTTAGTCAGTCTGAATCCATATACTCTTTTCCCCTTCCTAGAAAGGTGAACCCCATCCCTGCATAGCAGTCCTTCTTGGAACAGCATCCCGTGGTCAAGGAAGCCAAAGCCCTCTTAGCAACACCATTTTCACAGCCATGCATTCACCTCCAGGATGCACCTCTTTCTGCCTGGGCCATACCTTTGACAGGAAGAAATAAAGAGAGTGTCACCTATGCTCCACACTCCTTCACTTGTACTCCCAGAACCCTGTAGTCACTCTTGATCTGTTCAGTGTCACACCTTGCAGTATCATTTGTGCCCACGTAGATGAGTAGTATGGAATAGTAGTCAGAGGCTGGCTAATCCTCGATAATGCCTTCGTAACATCTCGGATATGGGCCCCTGGCAGTCAGCACACCTCCCAAGATGGAGGTACTTGAAGCAAAAGCTTCTCAAGGCAATTTAGCAGGCTGTTGTCAGAGACACATCTCATAAGTGTAAATGTATAGAGGCAACTCTTGAAGAACAAGAGCCAGTCGTAAATAACCCTTTTTTTTCCTGTAAATTTTCAACTTTCAATTTCCCCGTTATGGAATTAGAGCTCTTCAAATAGTGATTTCTGGAATTTCTTTTTTAATAGTTGTACCAATGCCATAGATATCACAAGCTCTCCAGCTGTAGGAAAAAATATCTGAATTATTTTTTTGCCATTGCTGTTTGCAGTAATAATGTTCATGTGGTTGATAAAAAGCATTAATATAATATTTGTTTTTCAGGACAATTGGAAGTCATCATGGACCGTCGACTTATGCAGGATGATAACCGTGGCCTTGGACAGGGTGTTCAAGATAACAAGATCACAGCTAATCTGTTCCGACTTCTACTGGAAAGAAGAAATGGAGTAGATGAGGTAGGTGTAATTACATTGGTTTATCTACTGTATTTTTAATAAAACTGAAGTTATAAATATTTGATACTTCTGTAAAACTATATCCAGAAATACCTGGTAAGTCAGATACCTACACATCTTGACTTTTTGTAAGCCAGAAAGATTAGAAAGTTGAATACAGTAATAGTGATGATCAGTTTGATTCACTCTGACTTTTACAAACATTTACCCTTCAGTGTCTCCTCTTTTTTCTTGAGTTTTTTTTCTTCTCTCCTTTCTTTGCCCATCACTTTAGAGAGAGGACCAATTGAGTATCTTATTGGAAAATTAGAGACAAATGGCAGCAGCTATGACAGAGTGGATTTAAAATCAGAAGGTAGTTTCTAAAGATGAGGAATTGTGTATGAAGTTTAATATATTAAGGAGCTGGAATTAATTATTTTCTGTGGGTGATAGCAACCACTGGCATGATTAGAATACTTATTCTGTATCACTTAAAGGTAAATCCCAGTGTTCATTTGATTCATAGATTTTTTTAAAATTCTTTTTTTTTAATGCCAAAAGGTATTGTTGGCATCTTCCGGTCAACATCTTTTTTTATATAACATAGTATTTCACATCATAATTTCGGAATTAAGACCATAACATTTTTTTCAGCAGAAATATATCTTTCAGAAAGATATCTTGTCTTGATTTAAAGACTTCAGAGAGTAGAGAATCAATCATATTCCTCGATAAGTTGTTCCAAGTATTATGTAACTTCAGTGTTTAAAAATGTGTCTTATTTCTATTTTCTATTTCCAACTTCAGATTAGAGGTATCCACTTTAAGAAATTTTCTGTTTGCATAGGTACTTATGGATTGTGATGGATTCTCTGATAAGCTGAATAAGTGACCACCTTAAGTTTATACCATATGAGTTGAGACCTTTTGCACACAAACTCTTGAGATATTTAGATTAAATGTAGCACAAAGGTTATGAATTTTAAAACTAAGGGTATGTCTAGACTGCATGGCTCCGTCGACGGAGCCACGTAGACGAGTTTACTAGACATAGGAAAATGAAGCGGCAATTTAAATAATCACCGCTTAATTTACATCAAAATGGCCACCACACTGTGCCAATCAGCTGTTTGGCGGCACAGCGGGGCAGTCTGGATGCACCGTGGTCGACAAGGGAAGCCTTTGTCTACCGCTCCGGTAAACCTCATTTCACAATACCATTATCTATTGTTTTTGCCAGAAATATTAATTCTGTGAGAGAGCAAATAAAAATGGAGAAGCGGGACATGATACTAAGATGAAACTGAAAATTAGATGAAGAATTAGATGGATTGGGAGAGTTTATACAGAAAAAGAATTGTAAAATGTTCAAAAGACAGGATTAACGAGCTGTCAGCAACTATTCAGCCATTGACTGTTTAGGTCAAGAGTGGGCAATAATTTTTGAAGGGGGGCCACTTTAAAAAATTTTTAAGTTGTTGGCCACCCCAGAAGGGGTGGGACCTTGGGCAGAAGGGGTAGGACCTTTAAATAGCAGGTGTTGATAGGGCTTGTGCCTCCCCTGCACTCCCAGACATCACGTTAGTGGGGGGCAGAAGCTGTGAGCCATTTCAACTCCTGCTGTTTAAGGTACTTGCTGTTTTAACATTATCGTGTGCTGGTGGCATAAGACAAGGGAAATATGTTTCAAACACCTTATAAATTTGACAGAATTCACTGTTTTAGTTTTATGTTGATGTTGTTAGAAAGAAATGCTGGAGTTAATTCCAGAGTACGCCTTTACAAGTAGCACCATAAACATTGCCAGCGTGTGCTGATAAATTTAAGAGAACCTAAATGAGGGATTTTATTAAGGATATTATTAAGCATAATAATACATATTATTAGGTATGGTAAAGTATTTATCTGAAAAGGTTAATCTTGTTCTGGGAGGTATTTAGTTGAGTATCTTGAGTTGTCGGCTGTTGCACTAAATGTTTAAGTATAGAACTCTGTGCTTAGATTAGTTAATTAGGCTATTTTAAAAAAGTCCTACTTGTGATTGAAAACATTTTAAGAAGAATGATTGTTACATACAGTAGTACTGTATGAAAAACTATCCAGTGAAGTTGCTGTGCTCTTGGAGTATCTATATCCCTGTGGTGCTCCACTACAGAATGTACGTGTGCCTCTGTGGAAATTATAAAGCAACGATTGTGTACCCACACTTGCACAGAAAAAAGCAATTTGTGCTCCTGTGCCATGGCATATAGGCAGGCCTGTCTGCCTATGGTTCGAGATAGGGATGTGAAGGAGAAGTTGGCTACAGGTTGGACCTCCCTCGTCCAGCACCCTCACGACCTGACCGGTCCCGAACGAGGGGATTTGCTAGACCAGGAGAGGTGTTCCTCCCAACATGGCCCATGTTGAACTGCCCTCTCCTAGGGCTCCAGCCCAGCACCGCTGCTGCCTGCCAGGCTGTGGAGCTCCCTAGCTGCCACTGCCAGCCCCCAGGTTCCACGGCTGGAGCACCGCAGCTGCAGCCAGAGGTCCGTGGCTGGAGCCCAAGCTCCACGGCTGCTGCTGATGCCTGCTACCTCCTGGCCACAGGGAGAAGAAATTTCTGCTGTCGCCTGTCTCTCCACATCTCCTCTCTCCTCTCCCCCCCAAAATGTAGAGATGCTAGACTAGAGTCCTGGTTAAAAGAGGTACAACCTGTCGTCGATTGACCGATAAGCCTAGGCTTATTGGTTAATCTAGTTGACTACTTGCATTCATTCCTTCCCTCCCCCACCCCGCTGCCTCTGTTTTAGAGGCAGTAAGGGGGGGAGTTGGCTTAAATGCCAGTTCCCCCCAGACCAGATCCATGGTGCTCCCTGCTCCCCTCTTCCCTTGCCATGCTGCCTCTATTAGAGGTAGCAGCATGCGACGTGGGCAAGGCAGGCTGCTGCAAAGCAGCCGCTGCCCACAGCAGGCTCAGGTTGGCCGTAGACAGAGGCTCCTCCAGCAGCAGCCCTTGTCTGGGGGGAGGAGGGTCTGAGCTTCCCGTGGACTGAAGCTGGAACATGGGGAGCTCTGACGACCACTCCCCCCACACACACACGGACAGTGGCTGAAGCTGCAACCTGGAACTGTTGCCTCTGGTTTTTAAATTCTCACCTCACAGACTGGGTCCTGCCTGGCACCCCACACTGACACAGAGGCAGCAGTGCAGAGTGGCAGGGGACTCCCCAGAAGTGGTGCTGAATTGCACTGGACCCGCCCCAGAGGACTATAGAGTAGTTAACTAATCAGTTAAGAATTCATTGGTTAGTTGACCATTCTATTACCTGCTATATCCCAAGTGTGAGATGCAGCATTCAATGGCAGCTGTTTTACAGCTTCTTGCTCTTTACACTTCTGTTTGTCAAGCTAAATAGATTGAGTTCCTTGAGGCATGTTTATTAGGCATATTTTCTAATCCTTCAATCGTTTTGTGGCTCTTCTCTGAACCCTCATCAATTTATCACCTGCCTTCTTGAATTGTGGAACTCAAAATTGAATGCACTATTCCAGTAATGGTTACACCAGTGCCAAATACAGATGTAAAGTAACTTTTCTTTACTGATATTACATATTCCCTTGTTTATGCATTCCAGGATTACATTAGGATTTTTGGCCATGCTGGGAGCTCATGTTGAGCTGATTATCCACCATGATCCCAAGTTTTTTTCAGAGTCACTGCTTCCTAGAATAAAATATCCCATTCTGTAAGTTTGATCTTATCAGAAGAATGTTGTTACATTTAGCCACATTAAAAATGTATTTTGTACTCAGTTTACCAAGCAATTCAGATTGCTCTGAATCAGGGACATATGCTCATTTACCTCTCCCCTAATTTTTGTGTCATCTGTAAATGTTAGTCTATGATTATTTTGTTTTCTTCACAATCATTGATAAAGATTTTTAGTATAGTGTCAAAATCACAGCAGGACCACACTGAAAACAGGCCAGGTTAATAATAATTCTGTTTACATTCTGAGACTGATCAGTTAGCCAGTTTTTATTCCATTAATGTATGCCAGAGTAATGTTATGTGTTATATTCGTTTTTATCAAAATTGTGTAATGCCAAGTCAAACAACATAATAATATCTAAGGGGTTTATGTTGACACTACTACCTTTATCAACCAAATTTGTAATCTCATTGGGGGAAAAAAAAGACAGTTAGTTTGACTCTGTTTTCCATAAACTCTTGTTGATTTACATCAATTACGTTATATCCCTTTAGTTCTTTATTTACGTTATATTGCTTTAGTTCTTTATTAATTGAACTGTTTCAGCTGTTCCATTATCTTTCCTGAGATTGATGTCAGGCTGACACCAGTAATTACCTGGGTCATTCCACTTGCCCTTTTTAAAAATGAGCACATCATTAGCCTTCTTCCAGTTGTCTAGAACTTGCCCAGTGCTCCAAAACTTACTGAGAATTAGAAGTGCCTCAGCCAGTCTTTTGAAACTCTTTGGAAGCTAGATACCTGGATCTGCTGATTTTAAAATCTGTGACTTCAGTAGTTTCTGTTTAATATCCTCTAGATATACTAATGGAATGAAAATGATGGCCTTATCACCATTTAGTGAGACTATTTATCTTCCCCTCACCCCAGAAAATACAGAACAGAAATATTTAACACTTTTTCTGTATTACTTTTAATTCTAACATCCATTTTGTAATTGATCAATACCATTGTCAGAATTCTTTGTTCCTATTTAAAAAACCTTCTTTTGTCCTTAATTCTGTTAGCCATATGTGCTTTATCAATTTTCTGCAGTTCCATAAATTCTGACTTATTCATTTCTGTTAACATCTCCTTTCTTCTATTTGTTATGTTATTTCCTTTCTATTTTAAAGCTTCCTTCACCTTTTTCTAAACATCTTTGGTTTTTAACCACCATAATCTTCTTCAGTTTTGAGTTTATGGATTTTGAGGCATTTCTTTAGTAAGAGATAGACAAGAGGAGTGCATCCCTGTTGATTCTCTTGGACCTCTCAACAGCTTTTGACACCAACAACCATGGTATCCTTCTGGAACACCTGACGCAGTTAGGTATTGGAGGCACTGTTCTGCAGTGGTTCCAGTCTTACCTGTCTGGACGTTTTCAGAAGGTGGAACTAGGGGGCTGCTATTTGACCCCATGCCAATTGTGCTTCGGAGTCCCGCAAGGCTCCATCTTGTCTCCTATGCTGTTTAATATCTACATGAAGCCTCTAGGAGAGGTCATAAGGAGTTTTGAAGGGCAGTGCCATCAATATGCGGATGACACCCAACTCTGTTTCCCTGTGACGTCAAAATCAGGTGTGGCGGTGACTGATCTAAATGAGTACTGTATCTGGAGGAGGTGATGGACTGGCTGAAGTCAAATAAGCTGAAGTTGAATCCAGATAAGACTGGGATCCTGTGGATCAGGAGGCCATCTTTTCGGGAACGTGGCATGGTACCTATTTTAGATGGGGTTATTCTTCCCCCGAAAGAACAGATACGCTGCTTGGGAGTCTTCCGGGACCCTTTTTTAACATTTGAGAACCAGATTTCTTCGGTGACCGGGAGTGCTTTTGGGCAGCTTCATCTGATCCGCCAGCTGCAACCCTTCCTGAACAAGCATGACTTGGCCACAGTGATCCATGCTCTTGTTATATCCCGACTGGATTGCTGTAATGCGCTTTATGTGGGGTTGCCTCTAAAGAGCCTTCGGAGACTTCAACTGATCCAGAATGCGGCTACTTCAGTTTTAACTAATACTTATTATACAGAGCACATTGTCAGTGTCCAGTAGCTGCACTAGCTTCCAGTATGTTTTCAGGCACTATTTAAGGTTTTGGTTATGACCTATAAAGCCCTAAATGGGTTGGGTCTGGGATATCGAAAGGACCATCTTCTCCCTTATGAATCTGTCCGGGGATTGAGGTCAGCTGAGGAGGCTGTGCTCAATGTTCTCCCACTTATGGAGATAAGATTAACATCTATGTGGAACAGGGCCTTCTCAGCTTTTGCTCCTGGGCTGTGCAATTCTCTTTCTTGGGATATTCTCCTGGTGCCAACGCTAACATTGTTTCAGAGTCATGCTAAAGCTGCCCTTCTTACTCATTCTTTTATTGGTGTTTGAGTCTGTATGTGTGTTCTTCCTCTCAAGACATTTTTAGCAGGTTTTATGTCCCTCTGGGGTCTCGTATTTTTATATATATTTGTATTGTGTTTTTTACAAATTTGTAAGCTGCCTCTAATATTTTAAATAGAGAGGCGGGGTAAAAATATTTTAAATGAATAATAAATAAATGATTCCCAACGCTAACATTGTTCTGATTAAATCCTTCTTTTCAGCTAATTTGGCTCATATTTGCTTTCAGCGTTGTTGACCCTATTTACCAAACCAAGTATATACACTTATATTACTGGTCTGAACTTTATTCTACATGCACATTATAAATGTAAACAAGGCATGATTTACTTGTAGTACTTAAGCTACCATCATTTTTTAGACCAGTGATCAGTCCCTCTTTATTTTTTGAAGTGAGGTCAAATATAGGACTTTCCCCTTCCCCCATGCTGGTTGAAACACTTTTTGAATTAGGAAATTCTCAAATATAGTGTTAAAGAAATGTTAAAGATGTTTGAAACTGAAAGAATACAGTCAGGCAGCAGAGATTAAAAAATGTCCATATACTGTATAATATAGTACTGCATTAAATGTATACTCATTAAAACAAAAGATAAGGAAGCTGTGTTCATTTCATTTAAATTAGGATGGTGAAAAGTAGTTATTTACTGCATAGTACAGTTTCAAAAGTTTCAGTTCTTAGCTGAATTTCATATCAGATGTTTGCTGGTTGTTTTACCCACATAAAAATACAATAAAAATGTGTTGTTCTGCTAGACAAAAATAGGAAAAGCAACACTCACGTCTTTCCAATAAATTGTGTTAAAAAGTTAGCATGTATTTTATCTCTTGAACTAGTCTAAGCATACAAAACTGTATTTAAATTGTATAGAATTCTATAGCTTTAATTTTAATTTGCTGGCACTATTATTTGCATTGAAGTAAATGATCAGAACTCCACTGAGAATAATGCTGTCCTACTGAATCCTTGCTCCACAGTTTACAGTCTAGGTTTATAACAAGAGTGAATAAGTAGATGGAATAGTCAATGGGATGGCAAGATAAGATAACAGTAAATGGTATGTTTTCCTACAAAATCATAATGTTGTGTTAACCACCTCGTCATTCTCATGGAATGTTTTGAAGGCACTACAGCACTTGTTAATCTTATGGAGATACTTCAAGGAGGATGAAAAAATTTGACAGATTTTACAGGAAGTTTGATGGGTGGCATGGGAAAAAAGCACAGAAGTGTTAATGATGCCTCTTTGGTAAAGTTTTTTGAGAGCTACTGATCTGTATAAGAGTAGATACTATAGTTATTGTTTACAACTGGCACGTTTTCATTCCACTTGAGATTTGTGTACACTGGTGCATTGTATCTGGAGAACTTTCCCCTGTACCAGTACCTACATTTTCTTAAAGGGAAATATGGGAAAGACCAAGAAAATCCCCCAACACTCTGTCTGCCAACCATGTGTGGTAAGAAGGAACAGAGGGGTTTGGGATAGCTCCACTCCTTTATACTTCAACACATCTTGAAGAAAAGTAACCAAGCAGTTATATAACATTTTTTTATTAGAGAAGTAGACAAACAACTGATTGAGAAGTTGTATCTTTGTTGTTTGTAAAAATAATTGTTTTAATTTACAGATTTGCACTTAATTAAAACAGCTATATGTAAACTTAAGTGGTTTAATATGCTTATTTTTTATAGAAAGAAGCAAAGTCATCAGTCAGTTTCCCCTCTCTTCTGAGCCATATAACATCGTCTTTCCTAAATCATCCTGTAATTCCAATGACTACATATGCAGAATCTGGTAACCCACAGATTTTGAATGTCTTTTCTCCACTCTCTTCATCCATGCCTTGTGACATGCACATGGTCAATCTAAGGACAATACAATCTAAGGTATGTTCAAAATATTAATGTTATGAACAAATGTATGATATAACATTTATATAACGTTGATATAACAGTGATATATTCTGGAAAACATTTCATTCTATAAAAGTGAATTATGAATCCACAAAGGATATAGTAAGTGATTCACCATAAGAATGCAGGTCTTTTTCTTCTGCAACAGTTGAAGGATTTCCATATTCTCACCAGTCGTTATATTTGAAACATCATAGAGATACAAGATTTGATATACCACGTCACCATACATGTACATTAAGTCCATCCTGCCTTTAGCTGTGGTCAGAAGATGGAGAAAAGCAATCCCCTCCACCCTCACTTATGACTCAAACCAATTGGGCAATCTTGTATGTGGAGTCAAGTTCTTCTTGACTCCTCCAGATAGTCAGCTTTTTTCCCTGCCTGATGAGGTTTGTTTTCTTTCGTTGTCTTTCATTAATACAAAACTACTACTACTAATTAATAAATTTAATTTGGGGCATGTTGAAATGACTACTAGAAAGTCAATATAATCTGCGATGGTAAGGTTATTCACTATTCTTCCACATATGATTGCTCATATTTCTTCTCAGTGCTACAGTTATTACTGCCTTTAGTACTCTGTTGAGTTAATACTCGGATATGACTTACTGTATCTTGGTGGAGTGTCCTGTTATCCCAATATTCCTTATTTTATATAAATATATTTCATTTAAAGCACAATATGTCAGGTATCATGGCAAAGCTTATCTGATATGTTCGAAGCCATTGTTCTATCTAAATATGTATATCATTAGTGCATAGAAAGTTATGATATTTAGTTGTATTGTCACTAAAATATTGTGAGTTGGGGAATTCCCATATATTAGATCCCTTGAGACAAGGGAGTTAACCAAAGCCAGAAAAATGTCAAACAACCATCAAAAGTTACAATTCAGTGGCTCACTTGAACAAGGCCACATTAGGGAAATTGCACAACCTTGCCTGATTACTCAGTAATGCCAACCAAACATGTGTAGACTTGTGTTTTCTAAGCACATGGAATGAGGACATAAAATAGAGGACAGAGGTTGGTCCTGTCTCATCCTCCACCTACACTGAAAGCCACAAGAATGCTGGAGCCAAGGTGACTGGACTTGGCTATCAGCGAGCGCCTGTGTATGAAAGATTGTTACCAGCTTCTGGTATCTAGAGAGGTGAGAGAAACTGCTTAGTCGAGAGATGTTCCCTAGTCTGTTAAGGTTGAAAATTTAGATTTTTTTTTTTGTAATTCTGATTTTCCCCATCTCTTATTAGAGATCTACCAAATTCATGGTCCATTTTAATCAGTTTCATGTACATAGAATTTAAAAATTCTAAATTTCATTATTTTAGCTATTTAAATCTGAATTTTCATAGAGTATGTTTAGACTACATGGCTCTCTCGCCAGAGCCATGTAGATTAGTTTACTAGACATACCCAAATGAAGCGGTGATTTAAATAATTGCCGCTTCATTTAAATTAAAATGGCTGCTGTGCTGTGCCAATCAGCTGTTTGGCGGCACAGTGCTGTAGTCTGGATGCTCCGCAGTCGACATCAAGGGCATTTGTTGACCTCCCTGGTAAACCTCATCCCACAAGGCATACCGGGGAGGTCGACAAGTGCCTTTGATATCGACTGCGTAGTGTCCAGACTACAGTGCTGTGCAGCCAAACAGCTAATCGGCACAGCACAGCAGCCATTTTAATTTAAATGAAGCAACGATTATTTAAATCACCATTTCTTTTGGGTATGTCTAGTAAACTAATCTACATGGCTCTGGCGACAGAACCATGTAATCTAGACATACCCTCAGTGCTGTAACTGTTGAGGTCCTGACCTAAAAAGGAATTGTGGTGGAGTCGCAAGGTTATTGTAGGGGGGAATGCATTACTGCTACCGTACAGCTGCAGGTAGCCACGCTGCCTTCATAACATGGTATCTAGAGAGCAGCGGCTGCAGGCTGGCAGCCCAGCACTAAAGGCAGAGCCGCTAGCAGCAGCACAGAAGGATGACATGCCATGGTATTGTATTGTATTGCCACCCTTACTTCTGCACTGTTGCCTGCACAGCTTAGCCTCAGTTAGCAGCCTCCATTCTTCACCTGCCCAGCTCTGAAGGCAGCAGCACACAAATGGCATCGTATAGCATTACCACCCTTACTTCTCTGCTGCTGCTGGCTGGGCTCTGCCTTCACAGCTAGCCTGGCCAAGCCTCCCAGCTCTGAAAGCAGCACAAAAGCAAGGGTGGCAATACTGCAAACTCCCTTCCCCCCAACAACCTTGTGACCCCCTGCAGCTCCCTTTTGGGTCAGGATCCCAAGTTTGAGAAACTCTGGTCTTCTCCACAAAATCTGTGTAGTATAGGGTAAAGGCTCAAGAGACCAAATTTCATGTACATGATGCTTTTTTATTTATAGGGAGGGCCCTATTTCTAATCAATTAAAAACAGTCTTTTATAATCAATACATTTATTCTAATGTTCATTCTTACCAGTGAGTTTGACTCAAGTGTTTTGTAAATCTGCTAAGATTACATAGGTTGGTGAATTTCCACTTTCCATTGAAGAAGTGGTGACCCAATTAATAAACTAGCATTGCTTCAGAAAGGGTCTTCAGTAGTGCACGGCAGTATATTCCAGTGGTATAAGCCTGGGAGCAGGGAGGATTTGGCTGCTACTTTTCTCTGTTTCATTGATGAGTGGCTTTGGGATCATTCATGCAATCTGTCAGTGTGGGGTTTCACATGCAGTTTGAGTTGTAATGGTACCTGGAGGGGGGTTGCTGGTTGTCCCCAAGAAAGTATTTTGAGACAACCCAGTTTAGTGAGTTAAGGGAACATAGAGGACTCATAATCCCCAGTTTCACCCTGGCAATTCTATCACAGAAAGACTTCTATAGTTATCCTGAATTGTTCTATCAGCTTCTTGTCTACTTTGACTGCACTCATCAACTTACTATAGATGTTTTCTTTCAGTTTGCTCAGTCACTCAGGAGCATTGTACATTCTCAATATTTGCTATAACCCTTTCTGCCAAATACTCTCAAAGGCCTCTTCAATGTCTATAAAGGTGTTGAAGAAGATTGGGTTGTGTTCTTTATTATTCAATATCTGTCTTATTACAAATAGCTGATCTATTGCATTTCATGTGATCCAACTCCAGTCTGTTCCTCTGTGAGCACTGCTTCCACATACCTCTTTCTCCTCCACAACATCTTGGTGAATGCTTTATCTGGTACCCTTAATAAGCTGATTCCTCTGTAAATCTTGTACTTGCTCTTATCTCCTTTTATTGTTCCCCCACTCATTCAGGACTGCGCTTGTTTTCCCTCTTTCCAGTCTTCATTTGATTTCTAGGGTCCAATATTCACCAATTGTTTGACCGTAATTCATTCATTTTGTGGTTGACTATCTGCATCCATACTCGGAGCTATTCCATTACCATGCTTCAACACTGTTTCTGCCAGTATCATTCTTTTAGAAGTCGTATGGCTGACTTCATAACCATAGGAGACTTCACGCAGTTGGAGGGCCAGATGTGCCTTCCTTGGATCTTAAAGTTATTCACTTGATATTGTCCTCATAGTCTTGGAAGATTTACAGAAAAAAACTGAGAAGGGTGACTGGGAAAACAAAAGATTCAGAATGAAGGTTGGCATAGAGAAAACAAATTATTTGAATTGGAAAACAAAAGGAAGAAATAAAGGTCAAAAAGATGGAAACAATGAACCAGAACACAGAGAGAGAAACTGTTTCTTCGAGGGCTAGTATTAAAGAACAGTAGTAATTATAATAAAAGAAGAATCAAAGTAACTAATATTGCATTTAGAATATTCTGTGAGAACGGGAAGACTGAAGACATTTTGATAAATTTTATAATCAGTATATGACAACTGTGCTAGTGCTGTTATTCCAGATTGGAATGCTGCAGTATGAAGAAAGCTGACCAACTAAAGATATTGACCTGAGAAATGAATTGGCTGAGGAAGCAGATCAGTAAGTTTCAAGACTGCTGAAAAAAATGAACTGAAAACAACTAGGGAA